CCTTGGGTTTTGGAAGGCAGAGGTCCTCGGGTTACTCCCAGTGCCCGCTTTCCCGGTCGCCGGCCCCTGCACCCCGCAGCACCTGCAGTGTAGGCTAGGCTGCATCGGCAGGGACCTGTGCGTCCATGTGGCCAGCATAAGGCGTTCCTCCTTCCTGAGGTCCATCCAAGACTCAGTTCCCGGAGCAGCACTGCTGGTCATGAGCCTCCGGGCCACGCTGTGGTCAGCCCTCAGACCCACAGTGTCACGCAGGGCAGGGAAGTGTCAACACCCCACTGCCCGGTTGTGTGGCCTCCGGGCACTTGAAACGCGGTAGCTGGTTCCGTGGAGCTGTGCTGTGACCCCAGAGACCAGCCTCGGGAGCAGGATGAGAAGGAACCTCATGGATGGCTTTTAATATTGGGTCACAAGTGCCATCCCAGGACTCTGGACATAGTAGGAAGAGTGAAGCCACGACTCCAGTCAGTGTAAAGGTGGCTGTGGGATCTGGGTGAGTGAGGGACATCACCAGTGTCTCATCCGAGGGGCCGTACGCATTCTGCTCGAGAGGTCGCTCCTGGGAGTGTTTTGGAGCGCAGTCGGCTCCACTGTCCTCAGGAAACTCGTCCCCAGGTCCTCGAGCGTGCCCCAGCCCACTGTCCCTCCCGACCCTGCACACGCCGCGTTCTCCCCCGTGCTCATGTACCTGTGAAAAGTTCCGTGGGTGAGCCGAGCCCAGCCGTGATGGAAACGGGCGGGCAGTGAAGGGCCGCTGGAATGCGCTGTGGTGAATGCGGCACGGCCACACCGACAGCGGGCTCCTTCACCTGTCGGCTGCTCAGGGACAGCAGGAGGGCAGCGTGTCCCCTGGGGACTGCAGTGGGCAGTGAGCTTTCCCCACACTGCACACAGTGGCGGACACTTCGAGTTACACAGGTGTGGGAGGTGTGCATTCCCTGTCTGCAGAGTGTGGATTTCGTTCCCCATGGGAAGTAGAAGTGTGGCTGAGGGGTGTATGCGTAAGGTCTTCGCTGTGCAGTCTCTTGACAAGGGTTTGTTCTGCCTTAGAGGGCAGCGGCCTGCTGAATGTAGGCTCAGAGGAGCTTCTGCCCTTCACAGGTAGAAGAAAATACGTTCTTTCTCTTTCCTTTTTCCTCCTCCTCCTCCTCCTCCTCCTCCTCCTTTTCTTTTTCTTCTTTTTTTTCTGGTACTGGGAATTAAACTTAGGCATTGCACTGAGCTACATCCTCAGTCAACTCTACATTGTTTTTTAAATTTTGAGATGGGGCTTACTAAGTCAGCTAGGCTGTCCTCAAACTGGAGATCCTCCTGCCTCAGCCTCCTGAGTAGCTGGGTGACAGGTGTGTGCCACTGTGCCTGCATGTTATTTTCAGTAGCTCTCTCATGAAATCACATGACCACGAGGGAGACAGAGAGCTTGGCCACTTGCATCAGCTCCCAGCTTCTGCTTGATGTGTGGACGCCACAGCCGGAAGGCAGGCATGTGTCGGACACGCGGCACAGCACCTCGGCAGGTTCCCTGGCTCACAACTTGGGTTCCTTTGTTCTCCTCAGTCCCCACCTCTGCGTGGGCCTGGGTGAACTCTGCAGCTTGAGTGAATGAGCTGGCCGGGCCAGGTCTCCTCCTGCTGGGCTCTGGAAGTGCCGGGTGCCATGTGGAGGCGCACACCGCGCCCGGAGCTTGCTCTCCCCGTGGCCCTTCGGGTCCCACCACAGAGCTGAGCAAGGACGGTGCCCGGTGTGCGGGGCCCTGGGCTGCTCTGCCCTCGATCCAGGCACTTGTTGCCCCACCGCCAGAGTTGGCCTTCCGTGGGACCGAGGCGAGCTGAGCACAGGAAGAGACTGTGAGCCCAGGGTGCACAGGTGCTGTGGCCTGTCCACGACCAGTGTTTGTTTACCATGCCCAGGCCAGGTGCGTTCTTTGGATGACCCCGGGACGCGGACCAGGGTGACAGCCGCGGCCACACTGCACTGTGGACACCACAGCCTCACTGCGCCCGAGGGTGTCTGCGGCCCCTCTGCCCGGGGAGCCGACCCTGACGCTGCACTGGTGTCCTTTCCCACAGTACAGACATTTTGGAGCAGGCAGCGGCTGCAAGCCAGGGCTGCAGAGTGGATGGGGAGGCAGGGCCGTGGGGCACTGAGAAGCCCGCACCGGAGTAGATGCAGCCGCTTGTTGCCGGGACCAGGCTGACAGAGCCAGGCAAGGGGCGGTGTGAGGCAGGGTCTGAGGTGCAGGGGGCCCTCGGGGCCTTGGGAAGGGACCACTGTGGGCGGGAGCCGCAGAGCCGGGGCTGGGCCAGGGAGGGGAAGCGGGGTGCAGCTCCACACCACTCCCTGAACCCCTAGAGTCTGCCACCCAGGAAGCAAGGGTCCCAGGGGAGCTGGCAGAGGCCTGCATGTTCCTAGCTCGTGTCTGCCCATTAGAAACCAGAGCCAGCTGGAGGGACAGAGGCCCGCCGTGCGCCTTCCTAGTTTGTGGGCATCTGATGCAGAGGTCTGGAGAGCAAGTGTGGATCCCTTTGTCTGAGGCACAGGAAAGGAGCCCTTGAAAGGCTGAGCATTGCAGGGGGTGCCAGCGATGGGCTCTGGTGTCTGTGAGCAGCAGCATCTAGACCTGGGGGAACAGTGGGCGCAGAGGAGGGCCAGTGAATTGGGTTGCGGAGGCAGTGAAAATCTGTGCAATGGCAGCCTTGAAGGCCACAAGAGGAGCAGGAGCTGGGGTACTGACTTTAGAATACTTGGATGTCATGCTGCTTACGTTGATCACAAGCTCCAGGAGGTGAGCCTGGCCCCTGTGATGAATCCGGAGGGGAGGAGGAAGTCCCTGGATGTGAGGTGGGAACTAAGTCTTAAGGAATGGGAGGAGGGACCGGCGTGGCAGATTGACAGGGACAGGGACGAGGAAGGACAGCATGCCTGGAAGGGACAGGGCCCTCGGGCAGGGGCAGCAGGGTCTGGAAACAGCGAGGCCAAGAGGGGAAGTGTCCGCCCAGCCTGGCCGCCAGTGGATGGGAAAGGGGCTGCGCTGCAGGCACAGGGACCCGGTCGGCTGCAGTGTCGCCGAGGAACGGGAGGAAGGGGGACAGGAAGTCATTGTGGTCCTCGGAGCCACCACTGCCCACAGGTGCCTCTGAGGAGGAGAAAGCTGCGTCTGTTTGGGGCAGCTGTGTGACCAGTGTGGTCACCAGAGCCAGGCCTGGAGGGCTGTGCCAGCATGTGGTGGGGCAGTTCTGTGTCCCCGGTCACTTTCAGCAGGGCCCTTCCTCATGGAAGGGGTCTGGTCACAGGCAGACCCTGGCCCTGGTCCCCCACTGTCTTCTGTACTTCCTGTGCCCGCACCCCTCTCCTCCTGGACCACGGCTCTCAGAAGCTCAGTCTCCTGGGGTGGCTTGCGGGCTGCCCTGGACAGTGCTGTTGGGCACGCAGCTTCAGCGCCAACTGAGATGTTGGTAGAAACGCAGAGCCCATACCTGTAACACCAGAAGCTTGGTAGGCTGAGGCGGGAGCAATTTGGCAAGACCCTGCCTCAGAATATAAAAGGAGGGGGCTGGGACGTAGCTCCGCGTGAGAGCCCTGGTTCTGTCCCCAGCACTGTGATTGTGGGTAGATAGGCGATAGATAGATGCTAGGTTGATAGATTGGTAGGCAGGCGCAGCCATGGCCTGGCCAGAGAGCTCCGCAGTACGTCCGTTCCCGCCGCTCATTCTCGAAGGCCCCACAGCCGCCTGCATTCCCCTGGTGGTTCTGCCTGCCAGGACCCACACCTGCGGCCTGAGGGTGGCCGCGTCATTTCCTGGCTGTTTCAGCCCAGAGATGTGGATTCCCTCCACCGTGCCCAGTGATGCCTCAGGCCTGAGCCCTCTCCTGCACAATCAGTTCTAACCTGGTGCTGATGGCGAGTCCTCCATGGCAGTGCCCTGAGTTTCCGCGTGAGGACACTGCTGAGGTCAGCCTGGTACCCATAGAGAGACAGCCCCGGTGTAGCTGCTGGGCCCCACGGAGGCGTCCTGATGGCCGATCATGCACGGAGACAGTGGTTTGGTTTATAGTAGCCTTTAAATTATAAGCACAGTGCGCTTCTTATGTAAAGGGTGGTAAAGCATGTATTTGGGTAGCATGCCAGTGTTCATAGCCTGTACCCACACGCAAGCCTTCTTACATAGCTGTGTGCACACGTACACATGCATGGGGTGTGATCGAACAATGCAGTAATGTTTAAATGAAAAACTCCTCCAGCCCCAGGACGCTCCCGCACTGTGAGCACACGCTTCCCACCGTCCTTGCCCCTTTCTGCAACAGCTCTGGAGCCCTCTTTCCTGAGGGTCTTTACTTGTATTGTCCTGGTTGCCCTGAGGTCCTGAATAGATTCAAAACGTTTCCCTTTCCTGGTCATTTGACTTTGGGGAAGAGCCAGAACGAAGTTGGTGGTGTCAGATCCGGTGACAGGTGGATGAGGACTCGTCATCCTGTTTTATGAGGCTGCCTTTCTGTCAGATGGCGCTCAGCAGCAGCAGTCACTGTATTTCTGATCACACTTCATAAAGACACTCAGGAAAGATGATGCCAGAGCTGCTGCAGACAGTGGCGAGAACAGTGGGCTGAGTGTGTCAGCGAGGGGGGGTCTTTTCAGGGGATCAGTGGCAATGTGTCTTTTACTGTAATAACTTTTTAAAATGTAAACATTCACCATGTATTTAGAGCTTACCTTATATCAGCATCTGTAATTATATGTACAGAGAGAGACAGACACAGTGATATGTATTTGCTGATCTACATAAATTGTATTACTTTGGATGGAAGGGTACCCATAATTGAACTATATATACATTGGGGTTGTTTTTCTTTTGTTTTTTGAGAAAGGGTCTCACTATTCCAGGCTGGTCTTGAATTCACAGCAGTGCTCCTGCCTAAGCCTCCTGAGTATTAGGATTACAGATGTGCACCACCATGCCCAGCTTCCATTGAGCGTTGACCCCCTCTTTTGTGTCTTAGCAGCACATGAGAATTTTTCTGGCCTCATCGGAGAGCATCCCATCAGTGCAGGCAGAGGCGTGGCAGCTGAGGAGGAGGTGCTGGCCACCCTTTTGGAGATGGGGGGCAGTAAGGAGCACAGCTGAGCAGAGCCAGCCTGCAGAGCCAGGGTGTCCCCCGTTGCTCAGAGTCGGGTGAGGGTTCTAGCATGCTCCCGTCCCTTCCCTCTGCGGGTGCCTGTGCTGACTCCTGATGGTGACCTTCTGTAAAGTGTGTCTTTGGTACACAGAGCTGTCACTGAGAAGTTTTCAGCTTCCAGGTTTAGTTTCAGATGCAGGGTTTATCACCAAAGACAAACCCATGCAGACCTTGCTTCAGAACTGCATGCCCAGCGTGCATGTGGAAATTTGCTTCAAGAGGGAAGTGTTAGAAAGAGCCGTTCTCTCTCTGATGTCATTTAGATATAAATACAGAAGGGTTCAGTTCCACCTCCTCTGCACTCTCCACAGAGCGCTCTGGCCCAGACACCTGGCCCTCTGAGTCTGACTGGCAGGGCTGGTGTGCAGGCTGGAGGGGAAGCTTCTAAGGCAGCACGTTGCTCTAAGGGAGTTGGCTTCCTCATCCTCACCATCCAGCCCGTGATCTCCCATCTGTTGTCCCAGAAGGGTGTGCAGCAGACCTGCCTGAGTGGCTGTGGAGCCGGCCGCTAGGCCTCCAACTGAGCAGCAGCGTCTGGAGTGGGCAGTGCCCTCCATGCAGTGGGTCCCGGTGATTCATCAGCAGGTGGTGGGCAGGGAGCTGCATCCCAGGAAATGTGGGAGACCAGAGGCCAGGACAGAGAGGCTCCACAGGTGTCAGATAGAGGGACACCCTGGGCGCATGGCTGGGATGCCAGGCAGCTGTTTCCAGGCATCTGCTGCCTGTGCGGCCATCACCCTGAGTGGCTCTGCCCTGCTAGCAGCTCCAGGCAGTCTTGCTGTCCCCGGGAGCTAGGCGGCCCCTTCCTTAGGGGCCAGGTGAGACACACGGGTGAAGGGTCCCAGGCTCCATCCATCTGTGCTGATGCCTCGTCTGCCCCTTCATGGCTACCACTGTCCCACTCTGAGATGAGCCACAGCCGCAGCACAGCACCCATTTGCCTTCCTCACCTCGGCTCAGCCGCACACCTCCATTGGCCCATGCAGACCTCGGCCTTGGGCTCCGGGGCTGCTCCATGTGGCCCGGGCTCCTCACTGCGCTCCCCTGTGGCCTGGGCTTGGAAAGCACACACCTGGCTCATGGTTTGTGCCCAGCAGATGCTGACTACACACGCCTCCTTGGAGCTCGCGCACGCTTGCGTGTGTGTGTGTGTGTGTGTGTGTGTGTGTGTGTGTGTGCGCGCGTGCGCATGTCCCCTAAGCATCCCTCGTTTATCTGTGTGACCACTTCAGCTCAAGTGGGCTGCAAGCCGAGTGTCACCTCCTGTCTCATGATCACGGTGTGGCAGGAAGTCAGGGCCCGAGCACTGCCCTGGGGACCGGGGAGAACTCTCCAGTGTTTCTCTCTGCAGGTACTCGTTTATCTGTGTGACCACTTCAGCTCAAGTGGGCTGCAAGCCGAGTGTCACCTCCTGTCTCATGATCACGGTGTGGCAGGAAGTCAGGGCCCGAGCACTGCCCTGGGGACCGGGGAGAACTCTCCAGTGTTTCTCTCTGCAGGTGGTGCCCATTTCCCGAGCTGAGGACTCAGCCCTTGTCCTCTGCTCTTCCTTTCAGAAAGTATTATGAGGGAGGCCGAGGATACCAGGCCCTGGACAGAGACGCAGCCCTGGGACTAGCAGAGCACTTCCGGGAGGATGCTGGGCGTCTGCAGGGGGCGGCGGAAGTTCCTGGCGGCCTCGCTCACCCTGCTGTGCATCCCGGCCCTCACCTGGATTTACCTGTTTGCTGGGAGCCTGGAAGGTAAGGATGGACTGGGCCTCAGAAGGAGGCTGGGTGGCCGTGTGTCATCACGCTGGTCACGGGGAGTGACCTGCCGGGGTGCACTTCCTGGGGCACTCGGCACTGCGAGGGGACAGAAGCTGGCCAGCAGGCACACAGGGTGGCGGCATTAGTGCCACTGCCATGTGGTCAGACAGGTCGCAGTATCCATGGCAGGAGGAGGTGCATCCTGGCAGGGTCGCCCAGACATGTACTGGCTCATGGGTCCCCTGCGGTTTATCTGTCCACACATCCGCGTCTTGAACCTAGTACAGGTCGGCGGAGGCCGCAGCCAGCCATGCGGTCATGCGGCGGAGGTGGAGGAGGGCCGGGCTGGAAGGAGAAGCCAGCGCAGCACTCATGGCTGGCACAGGAGGCCGTGCGGCACGCCCACCCCTCGGTGCCTGCGGACCGCGGCCCTGCCAAGTGCAGTGAGTGGCAGGGGGGGGGGGGCC